TTTTTTTTTGTAATATAGACTCAAAAACTAATACTTGAGTCAGATCTTCGATGGATTTCAAGCTATCCATCTCTAAAAGGTCTTTTTTTAATAAAAAATTAAAACAAAAATTCTATAATATTTATTATAAAATAAAATTAAAAAATATATTATTTAAAACATGATACATTTTTAAGTAATATATTATTTTTTATAAATATTATAATATATTTTTAAATACAACACACGTCTAATTTGTATAAAATAATACTCAAATATTTAATTTAAGAGATCCTAATAGAATACGAGAAAAAAATATTGATTATATTAATATATAAGATTTAAAAGAGAAATATTGAATATAATAGAGATGAAATCTAGTGAAAGAAGAGAAATTAAAGTATCACAATATTAATATTAATATAATTTTTTAAAAATTTATAACTATGCGGCTAACGGATTATCCACAATACATACGAGATTATTCTAATGCATAACGGGCGAGCTAAAAAAAATTTTAAAAAATATGAACTCTAATTTTAAAACTATAGCCTTATAATTTTTTTTGGCTTTGCGGCACAGTCCATTTGGACTAACCTACATCTCTACATTTTACAACTAAATCAATCAATTTATGTTGTTAATATTTCTAATGATCAATATTTAATTTAATAATTCAAAATAAACATTTACTTATTTACTTATTTCAAATAGGCACAAATAAACATATTTATTTTCAATTAAAAAATAATGAATTAATTTAAGAGAAAAAATATACACTAATATTGTAAAATATTTTTACACTATCAATCCATTAGAGATGTGTATCTCACCAAATTACATTTTTATTTTTAAAATACTGACATAACATAGTTGAATGTTAAAATCTTATTGGATGATGGTGTAAAATTATTTTATACGAACAATGCATTATTAAAATATTTAATTAAATAATCAATTAATTTTTAAAAGTATTTAATTAATTCAAATTAAATTATTATCAATTAATTTAACAGCAATTCAATTAAATATTAATTTATATATTTAAATTTGGTTAGTTATAGTTAAGATTTACATTTATGAATTTTATTTTTAATTTTGTCTATCATTTGAAATAAGTAAATATTTATTTGTGTGTTATTTAAAATAAGTAAATAAGTAAATAAATAAATATTTATTCTAAATTATTAAAGTATTTATCATTAAAAATATTACAATAGAAATTGATAGTCTAATTGTAAATGAGAAGACATGGGTACAAATTTTGTATTTTTTATTTTAAAATTAAAATTGTTTAATATTACTACAAATCATGAAATTATTTGTCAACAACGTACATTGTTCTAATGGTAAAGGTATAGGATGTGACTTGAAGGTCTATGGATTTGAATTTTTTTTAAGAATAAATTTTGCTTTTTTTTTTAATATATTTTTAAATGTGAATTATTTAAAAATAAAATTGAAATAAAAAATAAATATTAATTTAATATTTAAAAAATAAAACATAAAAAAAAAAAATCAACATGACTGTCCACGTAATTATTAAAAAATGCACGTGGTATTAGAGATGAGAATTAGATCCATTATCAAGGACACCCGTAAATATTACTTACAATATATATGGTAAAACTCTGCAAAATAGATATGGGCATAAAGACATGTAATTACCCACGAAATAAGTAGGTATGAGCGTGATACGGGTGAATATTCACCCAACACATACCCGCACGATATATATTTACCTATTTTACTTTTATTATTATGTATGCATATTGCTTTATCAATTTTATTAAGTGCATCACTATTAAACTTGTATGTATATTAATTTAATATATATATATATATATATATATATATATATATATATATATATATATATATATATATATATATATATATATATATATATATATATATATATATTTATTTATTTTTTTTAACTCAACAATATTATCTTTGAATTTTTTAAATATTATTAAAAAATTAAAATGATATGATAAATTATAAATAAAATATTATTTTTATTAAAAATGTAGATAAATGATTATGGGTATGAGTATATAGATGCCTATTAGATACGGGTACGAGTACAAGCATTAATGCCCACACGGATGTGAGCTCGAGTACAAAGATTTTTTAAAATCACAGATATGAAAATGTGTATTATAGTACCATGTCCAAATCTTACTCATTGTCATCACTGTGTAGCATAAATAATAGACATGACAGTCCAGTCCAGTCATAATTTAAAAATAAACAAAAAAATATTAATAAATAAACTAATATGACTCGATTAAATTTAATAAGAGGTTAAATATATTTTTTATTTTTCTCGTGGATTAAATTGGATTCAGTAATGTAATTTTTGTGAGGGTCAAAAAAATGTATCTTCATTCTAAAAATAAATATATGGTATTAATGATTATTTTTATATAATTAATTTATATGACTTTTTATTCAATTCAATTCATATTTTATATTTATTATTATTCGATCTAATTTTATATGTTTAATCATAGATTTAATTTCTATATTTTATAAAATTGGTCTTTTTATTTTAAATAGTTTTAATTCTCTTATTTTAAATTTAAACAATTTTGTTCCCTTTTTTATATTTTACATTTAAAACTAATAATATTTTCTATTTTAAAATAATAAGTTACTCATAAAACATGATAAATCATCGCATATAAATATATTATTGAAATTTATAGATAAACATATAAGTTAAAAATGTGAAAAAATAAGTAAAATTGTTTGAGTTTAAAATAAAGAGATAATTTTGTGAATCATATTAAATTGAAGGTCTAAAATTGTAACTTAACCAATTTTATAACATCATAAGAGTAAAAAAAGAAAAAATTAATATTATTAAATTTCAATTTATCATAGAGAAAATAATAAATGCATAAACATTTTTATCTAGATAGAAGGTAAAAGTTAGATTATTCGAATTTAAGAAAATGCATAAACATTTTTATCTAGATGGAAGGTAAAAGTTAGATTCTTCACATTTAAGAAAATGCATAAACATTTTTATCTAGATGGAAGGTAAAGGTTAGATTCTTCACATTTAAGAATTCAGTAAAATAAACTTTATTTTGAAAAACTTTATGATTATTTTAAATTATAATAATTTAAATTTAAATATAAGATTAATTAGAATATGGTGTAAATTACATTGGATGAGAATGAATTGTTTTAATATATAAAAAGAGAGAATCATAAAAGAAGTTGATATTAAAATGGTTAAATTATAATTTTATTTTTTTAATTTTTAATTTTATAATTATGTGTCAAAATAATTTATTTTAATTGGATGATAATATAAAGTAATTTTTCAATTAATCTTTTTAAATATATGTGATTAATGATTTTATTATATGAATGATTTATATGACTATTTTTTATCTTAATAAATTTATGTTTTATATTTATTAATTATTCAATTTAATTTTATAAAATCATAAAAGTCAAAATTATATTTTTATATCATCAAATTTTAATTTATCATAAAGAAAAATAGATGCACAACATTTTTGCCAAAATGGAAGGTAAAAGGTAGATCCTTGAATTTAAGAACTTTGTGTTAAATTATTTTTATTTTGAAAATCTTTTTGACTATTTTTAATTTATTATAATGATATTAAATTTAAATCTCTTGTATTATTAAGGTTGTTTTTTATATGATTTTTTTTACCTTCCTTAAGTCATATTTTATATTTTTTTAGCTATTCAATTTACCATTTTAACCTCATAAAAGTCAAATATTTATTTTTATATTATTAATTTTCATTTATCTTTAATTAATTTAAAATAACCAGTCAACAGTTTTTAGTTTTTTATGGTACTACTAGTTTATCTACCATACTAGTCATCATTATATAATAATATAATTATTTTAGCATTTTTATATATAAAAAATTCCAAAAAAATTAAAAATCATTTATTTATATATATTTACTTAATTAGTTTTATTGTTTGATTGTGGGTTTAGCTTGTCGTATAAGTTGAAAGTAGAAGCTAGTTTGGTTGTTCTTCACCCGCCGCCTGAAAACAACCAACAACAACAACATAGGACTCAGAAACCTTAAAACCGATAACCGAAACCGATTTTTGGATTCACTCACAATAACCATACTCTTTCTCTTTTTTTCATGCACGTTGCTTCTCATTCATTCACATTCTCAATACACAGGTTTCTCATTATTCTCTCTTCTTCGCTTTTGTTTTTCATAACCTCGTTTTTTTGTTCTGCATGTCGTTTTTTATTTGTGTAATGTCGTTCCCCTTGGTCTATTTTGTTATACTCTTTGTGTCATTGTTAAGGTTAATGTTTGCTTTCTTGTTGTTGTTGCCGTTGTTGTTGTCGTCATGTTTTTGTAGTTTTATCAGAGAACAAAAATGGATCTCAAAAATATTCAATTTATAGGGTTTTTGTCACTATCTTGTAGTCTTTTTTTAAATATTGAAAGTGTGATAGTTTAATTTAAGTGGGTTAGGCATTGTTTGGATAAGCCATTTAATTAAGTGATTATAGCATAAGCACTTATATGTAATAAAAAATTTATCTACGAAGTATCAGTTCATTCACATGTAAAGTTTTGGCTTTGTAATCTAGAGGGACATACAGAGTTCAAATAAAGTGACCATTAGTGTTATCATTGTTGATAACAATAAAATATTAGATAAACTAAAATTGAACTTTTTCATATAAAACTATAAGCCCTTGAAAAGGGTTTATCTCAAAGAGTTTATATAAGTAAGCCGAAAACATTTTATAGATACGTCATAAGTTGTTTCTATAAGATGTCTCAAATGGTCGGAAAAGTGCTTATGCCGGTAGATAATTTAAAACGAGTCACTTATACTATAATGTAATGATTCGAACGAGGTGATGACACTGAATCACTGTTTTAGTCTTATGTTGGTTTTGTAATGAGACTGATATATTGTTTTGTGCATGTTGCATAGGTTAAGCAGCAGAAGAGGATTTGTGTTGGAGTAAAATTGAAGAAAAGATGAAGTATGTTTTAGTGACCGGTGGAGTTGTTAGCGGACTTGGGAAAGGAGTTACTGCCAGCAGCATTGGAGTACTCCTTCAGGCTTGTGGCTTTCGGGTTACTTCTATCAAAATTGGTATTTTCCCCTCTTTTTAGTATTAAATTCTCCCATTTTATTGTTTTGCATCAACATTTGATGAATGACAATTCAAATTACAAGGGGTGGTTTCATTGTCAGATATCAATGTTAGTACGAAGGAGTGTATCAGTTTGGTCTTTTTGAGCTGATAAAATCAGTAGTAATTTTGCCGATTTGGTCGAACAAAAAAATATATGTTTTCATTTTGTTTTCGGTTTTGATTACGAAATTTCCATTTTGTTTTCGTTTAGTGAAAACACACAGTTGCAATATACGGTTTGTATAAGAAATAGTGAAAACAAACATACTGTACAAATCTTTGAAAACAAGAAACCAGTGTTCTCAAATAGTGACTATAGTCTAGCATAGTTTTAACAAACAGCTGTTGTCTTGCAATACACGGTTAAGTACAGAGCATTATCAAATAGCTAGCACTGTAGCGTGGCGAAATTTGAACAAACCGCCATTTTCCATGGTTTGTGTTTGACAATATTACAAGAAACATTGAAAATAAGAGTTACAGAAACTAATCTTTTGATATTATGCAAAACAATGCTATTTTTTTCGTAATTATTTTAGTTGTATTTAAATTTAATTTCTGTTACTTGCAGACCCCTACCTGAACACTGATGCAGGGACAATGTCTCCTTTTGAGCATGGCGAAGTTTTTGTCTTAGATGATGGTGGTGAGGTAAAGATCACATTTTTACTAGCACGGCATCAGCCATTTTAATGTGAATCTTAACTTATGTGCTGTGCATCATTCTTTTGATTTTTAGCTTATTTGTTCTGAGGTCATTTTTCAGTTATAATAACAAGGTAATAGCATTCCTGTCTTCAATCATGTTCTATTTTCAATTTTTTTCTCTTGGTTGAAGGTTGACCTTGATCTTGGAAACTATGAACGTTTCTTGGACACCAAATTAACCTGCGACAACAACATTACAACTGGAAAAATTTATCAGGTAAACAAAATGTAGTTTCTTCTATTTAAATGTCTGATTTTTATTTTGTTTTTTGTTTATTTATTTACTAGAAGTTCCTGCTGTTTCTTAAATTTTTTGTTTTTGTTTTGAATGCTTAATAGTCTGTTGTTGAGAAGGAAAGAAGAGGAGACTATCTTGGCAAAACTGTCCAGGTATGTTTAGTCATTTTGACTTTTCTGAAGGAATCTTTTTATTATGGTTGATTGTCTCTTGGTTTTGATTTTACATTTAATGTATTCGTAGGTTGTTCCACACATTACTGATGCCATCCAAGAGTGGATAGAACGTGTAGCACAGATACCGGTTGATGGAAAACAAGGCCCTGCTGATGTTTGTGTCATTGAATTGGGTGGAACCATAGGTAAACTATTATTTTCTCGACAAATTCTAATAAATATTAGATGGTGGTGCGCTGTTGTTGTAAATTATCATATTGCCACATAGTAGTATAGAATGCTAAAATAAAATGACTTTACTTTGATGTAGGCGACATTGAATCTATGCCTTTTATTGAAGCACTGGGCCAATTTTCATACCGTGTAGGTAATGTTTGTTCTGCCCCAGACCTTATAGTGTATACTATTACTGAATTACATCAACATATTTTGGTGCTGTGCTCTTTAGAGAATGAGTCTTATCTCATTGGTTATTATATTTTTCTAGGCCCTAGCAACTTCTGTTTGGTTCATGTGAGCCTTGTGCCTGTTCTCAGTGTTGTTGGTGAACAGGTAGGTACCTGCAAACTGTAAGCTATCAATGGACATTGAAATTTAATAGTATATTTGTACTTATTGTATGTTTTAATTTACAGAAAACCAAACCAACCCAGCACAGTGTTCGTCAACTTAGAGGGTTAGGGTTGGTCCCAAACCTTCTTGCTTGTCGCAGTTCAAAGGTCTGTCTTTTGCTTTTTGCTTTTTCTTTTCATCCCCAATGGTTCCCGTAATAATGATTTAAGATTTTTATGTTGTCCTTGCCAGGAACTTGATGATAATGTTAAGGGAAAACTTGCTCAATTTTGTCATGTGCCGGTAACTCACACAATAATTCTCAACACTTTTTCACTTTGCTTAACCTTGAAACTTTTCATACATATTCTCAATGCAAACTTGTGTGTCTGCAGTTATCAAACATACTCACTCTCTGTGATGTTCCAAATATTTGGCACATTCCTTTGCTTTTGCGAGTAAGTAATTCAATGATATTTTGTGGAACTTCTTTCTCATACCTTTTTGCCTAGATAGTTGAGTTGTGATAATTTTATGTTATGTAATTCATATATTAACTAGAAGTTTTTCTTATGATATTGTTCGGTTATGAATAGGACCAGAAGGCACATGAGGCAATCCTGAAAACATTAAACCTTCAAGGGTTTGTTTCACAAACTCATTTTCCTTATTCTGTTGTTTTGATTTTCTGATAATTTATTTAAATTATGGTACCAAAGTTACCACAAAATAACTGTCTTTGAGCGGATGCATTGATTATTTGCAGTGTTGCTACGGAGCCTAATTTTACGGAGTGGATCACTAGAACAAAAGTTTACGACACATTTCATGAATCTGTGAGTTTCTTTATTTCTAATATATCTTTAGAAAACTATAATACAGGACTAGTTGTTCACCTCCCGGAATGATGCCAAGTATTGACCTCACACCTGTCATGTTCTTTGCAGGTTAGAATTGCAATGGTGGGCAAATACACAGGACTTTCCGATGCATATCTTTCTGTACTGAAGGTGCATTACTCTTACATAATTCTCATTTTTCCATTCTCAGCAACTTGCACTGTAATCTTACATAATATTGGTTTTCGGTGCAGGCACTTATGCACGCTTCTGTTGCTTACAACCGCAAGCTCACAGTGGATTGGGTTCCTGCTGAAGATCTTGAAGATGATACATTCAAAGAGGTAAGTACCGATCTTTCGATCTTTCTACTGTTGCTGCATATGTTAGTTAACTGCTTTATTTGACTTTATTCCAAACCTCTGACGGTTAATTTACTGTTTACAGAATCCAGATGCATATAAAACTGCTTGGAGTCTTTTAGAGGTTTTTTGTTGTTTCTATTATCTGAGCTTTTTATGAACGAAACAAAATGCATTTCTTCAACTTAGATGTATATAAATGTGATATATCTTTAAATATTACCTATATGGTTTTCTGTTGCAGGGTGCTAATGGAATTCTAGTTCCAGGAGGTTTTGGTGATAGAGGAGTGAAAGGGAAAACTCTCGCCGCGAAGTATGCTCGAGAAAACAGTGTTCCGTTTCTCGGCATTTGCTTGGGGATGCAAATTGCTGTCATTGAGTTTGCAAGATCTGTTCTAGGTCTCTCTAATGCTAATAGCACTGAGTTTGAGCCCGAAACCGGAAATCCCTGTGTCATATTTATGCCAGAGGTATATTTGCTGATAAAAATCCATTTTGTGAAAGCTATGTCGAGATAATTTTATTCGTTTTAGAATTTTGTTAAACTGTTTTTCTAATGATAGGGTTCAAAGACTCATATGGGAGGAACTATGCGTCTTGGTTCAAGGAGAACTTACTTCCAAGTTGCTGACTCCAAATCAGCCAAATTGTAAGGATCAAAAACGAAACTCCAATTTATTGATAAATACAAACACCGATGAATGTGATGAATATACCCCTGAACATTTATAAATCATTATGTAATTGAATTTTGTGTAGGTATGGCAATGCAAGCTTTATCGATGAGCGTCATCGTCATAGATACGAGGTAACTTGTGTTTGCATGCAATAAAACCTTCCTTTATCGGAAAATATCAACATTGTTCATATACTATATCGTGGTTGTACTGTACAGGTTAATCCTGACATGATATCACAACTTGAGACTGCTGGTCTATCTTTTGTTGGCAAAGACGATACTGGGAGGCGTATGGAGGTGTGTATATTTGCATGAAATTCAAAATATTATATCATCGATCTTAAGACTGGAAATTCATAACTAGTTTTCTCATTGTGATTATGTTTACGATACAATTACAGATCGTTGAATTGCCTGGTCATCCTTTCTTTATTGGTGCTCAGTTTCATCCCGAGTTTAAGTCAAGACCAGGGAAACCTTCTCCACTATTCTCAGGTATTCCATGCCCGGTTTCGGTCTCCCCGTATATATTAGTCATGTTTTTGGTATCCCCTAAATGAGTGCCTCATTGTAACAACAGGATTAATAGAAGCGGCGTGTGAGAGGAGGCTTTTGTCAGAAAGCAAAGGAAATGCAAACTCAGCCAATGGAATACATGAACCACACTCGCCAATGGCGAAAGCTCAGAATGGAAACGGGTTTAAGTCTTCCAATGGTTCCTTGAATGGTTCCAATGGCATTTATGTTGATGGGGAAGTTTAGTGATTTTGGTTTTCTCCAAACACATTTTTTGTGTTTGGTTAGCTTGTACAGTTTGATTGGTTGGTTAGATTAATTTGAGCTCTATCTATATAGCTTTTGTTTCCAGCATGAAACAAATTTTGGATGCAATAGCTTTTGCTGTCAAGCATATATAGGTGCTAAGCTTAAGGATGGTGTTTTTGTTTTGTTTTTCATAATGGATTAAAATAATAGTGGTTTTTTCCTTGTAATGAATAATGTGATGAATTTTGAAAACAATTTCTCCTTACTTTAAAGGGGAAAAACCACTTTCATTTTCTTTAGTTTTTGCTTGTTTCAAAATACTTTAGGGCTGGAATCATTTGATACCATAATTAATTTTCGAATCGGTCCAATATCTCTTCGAATCGGTCCAATAAATCAGATATTGGTGGTGAAAAAAAAACAAAACTTTATAGGAAAAACTTATGCCCTCTAACAAACTTAGGGCTTAAGAAAGTAATATAATAAAATATGAATTATTACTAATACCATCCCTTAATTCATATTCCATCAAAACTTGTAACACCAATTCCATCCCTTAATCTGAGAAATTGATCAGTCTTGATAGCTTTCGTCAGAACATCTGCCAACTGCTTCTGAGTGCTGCAGTGTATAACTTCTAACACTCCACTCTGAATTTGATGTCTCAGAAAATGATACTTGGTCTCAATATGCTTGCTTCTCCCATGCAACACTGGGTTTCTGGCAAGGTTAGAGTTCATTGTTTTATAAAATTGGTAAATTCTCAATTTTTCCTAAGGCTTGTTATTCACTTATTCTATATTAGTATAAAACTTTGATGAATTTTAGTCTATTAAATCTAATTTAATTTAATTATTTGTGACTTTTTAAAAAAAATAGTTAATGTACAAGAATAAACTATTTTTGTTATTTTATGAAAAAATACAAAGAAAAGCTGATATAAAATATTGAACCTTGGACAAGAATTCATCTTCAATAAGCTTATAATTAACAAAACTAGCTGATTTATCTTATCCACTAAATTTAATTATTTGTATTGCATTAATTATTTTACTAAAATATAAAATAAAATTATGTTTTTAAGTGTTATTGTGAAGAACAACTATGCCTCCATATGAAGGTTTTATATGCATTTTTTATTTTACCATTCTTTTCTATCATACAAACATATACTATGTAAACTTATTTGGTCTTTTACATATGAAATGTTGGAATTATTATTTTAGAGAATTTCTTTTTTCACCTTATGTATTTCTACCACATTATGTGAAATTTTACAAATGCTCCTTGATTTTGAAGATATATCTTAAGACGCATTTAAATTTCAATGAATATTAAAATATTCTGAAGATATATATCTCTAGAATAATTTGGAGCATAAATCGTGCTAGACTCTTCTCCTCGCTCACATCTCTCAAAGTCTTTTAAATATAAAATTTCAACTTCTTCACAACATCAAATTTCATCAAATAAGGCTCAAAGGAACATTCAATATCATTAAAACCATAAATTTCAGGTACATTTTCGAGTTTTTGGATAAATTTTGAGTTTTTTTGGTAAATGTGTAGAAATTAACGATTAGGGTTTGAAATGTGTAGGAATCACATGTAACATAATTTAGACTTAATATATGACTTGTTTGTTGGCTCAAAATAGCGATCAAATCATATTTTTTAACCTTGCATAAGTCACATTACGCCATTGCCACGACCTCTGAGTTGTAGAACTTTCCGGAGATACATCTCCGGAATAGTTCCGCGTTTCATATACTTTAAAAATTTTCGGAGATACATCTTCAAAAATTTTCAAAGGAAATAAATTTATGGTGTTTTTGGAGATGTATCTTCGAAATTGTTCAACGTTATTGTTTTATTATCTTTTCAGAGATATATCTTCGAAATATCCTGCAATCTATTTTTTTTTAATTTTCTTGTTTTTCTGTTGTCTACGTGCACTAATGATACACTTTACTTTACCTTACAGGCATTATGGCTGACAGAGTCGACAAACTGTGACATGGTCGGGTTTCCTAGCACACATTTGTTCGGCAGGAGCAAAGCCAACAGGTACTTCTGATCAGGCAAAGGCGTCTACTCCTGGGGCCCGTCCTTCACCTCAGGCCACTTCATCTCAAGCCACTCCATCTTCTTTTTTTTCCCCGTAGGAGACAAGATTCACCAGCTGACGCGTCACATCCCCCATCTTCCCGCTGGCGTCAAGATTCACCAATGCAACCTCCTGCTGATCTAGTCATCTCCCGCTGATGATCATGCTGATCCAATACCCTTCGGATGGTGAAGTTGTTGTGGATGCCGAACCAGAGATTTTTGGAGGAGGTCCATCTGATTTGTCCTTACTTCCTTTGTATCCAGACCACACTGCCAGACATATCTGAGACAGAGAGGTAGCATTAGTTGGATTTTGATTTATTTTTCACGTTAATTTAAATTGCTGACATTGATTATTTCTGAAAAATTTCAGGTGCGTGATCCCTAAAAGTTTCTAAACCATGGGAGGAGGATTGCTTGCTTAGCTCTGTCGGATGAGGATTGGTTTCAGTCGGTTCTGACCTTATCTGGGTTGAAGGACCTATGTATGACTGGTTACATCCTGGTCAACCATATGATACTTAATGCATTTGTGGAGATATGGCATTCTAAGACCTCTTCTTTTTATCTCCCACATGGCGAGATGACATCACATTAGACTATATCTCGTGTTTGTTACATCTTCCTATTAGGGGGAAATTCTTTGATCATGGTAGGATGACCAAAGACGAGGTAGTCGAGAAGATGGTAGAGCATCTGAGGATTGATCAAAGGAAGGTGATTGAGGAGGTGGATAATACTAGGGGTGCTCATGCTAGGTTTGAGTTCTTAAATGAGAGATATGATGAGGAGATCGTTGTTGCAGAGGTGGCTGACAGTGATGTTGAGCAGGTGGCGGTACACAGAGCTCGTGCTTTGAGGACATATTTTCTTTTTTTGGTTGGCACTTGCATTTTTATGGACACGAGTGCCACTTATACTGACGTTGCATACCACTAGTACTTCTTGGATCTCACTCTGATCCATGAGTACAACTTGGGTGCGACTTGCTTGTGTTATCTTTATTTGAAGTTGGGAGATGGATGTCGGTGGAAGACGAAGTAGGTCACAGGAAGCGTGACACTATTGATGGTAATAATTCTTGTTCCTTGAATACTTTTTTGTAATTTTCATTTCATATTTGCGAAACGATTACCGATAATTCTTGATCCTTGAATGTTTTCTTTTTATTTTCATTTCATGCTTGAATCCTCATGCACTTCCCGCGCATCGCTGGCTAGCTGAGTGTGGATGAGTACACCCCATGCATGTGCTTTTATCCAGCTGAGAGGGAACTAGGTGGCCGAGCCTTTCAGATTCTACCTTACCATTTGGTTTTTGAGGATATGCACTTCAATAGCTATGTGCATCACCGTGAGATGCAACCATTTGACGACATAGCTCTATAGTCCAGATGGTTGGCATGCGAATCACATAACACTGCTCCTTATCTTCCAGAGCGCGTCATGCGGCAGTTCGAGTACACTCAAACCATCCCCAGACACCATGATGTCTCTGCTCCCCCTGACTTGTCTCATAGGCAGATAAAGATGTTTGTTGATTTTCATAGTCATCTGATATCAGACGAGGCATGAGCTACTATAGGGCTGAACGGCGGGAGCTACGTCAATGGTTACATTAGGTGGTTTTTCAGGGTGTCACATTTGTACATGATGCAAACTGCTCCAGGAGATCCGCCGAGACCATCTCATTAGGAGATACTTGAGGAGAAGCAGACTCAGTTAGATCATACTAATGATGTCTTGCCTTGGTGTCTTTGCATAATGGATATAGCGCGGGCAGACATTAACAAGGGTATCTTCCTTGAGGGGTCTGCTGTCAGACGAGTCTTGGATACCATGTTACCGGAGGCACATGGGGCACTGTTGTACATATACATCGCCAGATGACGGGGGGGGGGGGGGGGGGGGATTGATGACCGATGAGGTAGAGTAGGCAGAGGAGGCAACGCAGATAGAGGAGAGGTTGTCAGGCACACCTAGTAGTTATTTGTTATTATTTTGTTGTAGTATTACAATTTGTACTTTATTTCTGACATTGTTACTATATTTTGAATCTCGATTGTATGACATTTCTTATTATATTGCTATATTATTTTCGACAAACCCAATATTAGTCTATTATTATTTTGTACATCTATTTTTATATTCGAGTTCGTACTTCATACTTCATTTGAAAACAAATACACAACTTAGAGCAAAAAAAAACTTATTCTAATATACTTCGGAGATGTATCTCCGAAAAATTCCCGTAGTTGCATCTCCGGAACAATTCAAATGTAAATGGTTAATGCTTGACATGTTATGAATGTTTAAAATGGTTCCAGAGATGTATCTCCAGAATATGTCAACGTTTATTCAGAAATAGGTGTGTCCAGAGATGTATCTCCGAAATCAAGAGGCATATTTTAAAATTCACATGGTGCCTTAGAAACATATAGGGTGAAATGAGAAATTTTCTTATTTAAATTGTAAAGCCTTGTCTAATATATATCTAGAATAATATCATACAAAAGTTATTATCTGGTACTGACACCATCATAAGTTCTTATTGGCATAATTTACATACTTGACTATTTCACGTAACTAAAAGAACAATAGTGATACAAGATATCAAAACTGCCAAACAATAAAATCTAAGATCTGACTACAATATCCATCATTGTACAAGATACATAATACACATCAGAAAACATAATCTAAGCTTCTTTTGAAACATCCACGCATAGCTCCACTTGCAAACTAAACCTGCAAACAAAATACCAGAAAAACCACAACAATAATGGGGTGAGATAATAATCTTAGTGAGTTTCCCTATCTTATGGGTTCACTCAGCTCTACAAAGTTCTAATCAATCTGTATCTCAAGTCAAAAGGGAAAAGGATAAGAC